GACCCCAGGTCATCCAACGGTACCATCCACAGTTAAGGTGGCTTGTCCCACCTGTGCTGGATAGTTTCAGTTGTCACATCTGGAAAGAGAGAATCTCAACTGAGGCATTTCCTCCATCCGATGGATTAGCTGGTGGCCATGTCTGTGAGACGTTTTCTTCATTGCTGATTGATGTGGGAGGGCCCGGTGGGTGGTGTCACTCCTGAGCAGGTCCTAGGCTGTATAGGAAAATAAGCCAAGTACAAGCCAAAGGGATGGAGTTGGTGAGCAATATTCTTCCCCAGTCTGTGCTTCAGTTCCTACCTCCTGGCTCCTGCCCGACTTCCCTCAAAGATGGACTGTCACTTGGAAGTATAAGATGCAATAAACCCTTTCCTCCTCAAGCTGTTTTTGGTAAGAGTGTTTTATCACAGTAATAGAGAAGCAAACTTGAATACTACCTCTTCTAACCTAATCTAGAGAATCCCTCACAGGTATGTTCAGAAGCCTGTCTGTTAGGGAGTCTAGATCCTGTTGAGTTGGCAGTATTAACCATTGTACAAGCTCTCGGGCTGCTGCTCCTGCTGCTCCAGAGAGTAAGAGGACATGACAGAGACTGGAAAAGGGAGCAAGCTGAGGACTCAGAGATGTCAGGGGGACTTCACAGAGCACCAGGCGGAGAGGGCAGCTAGGCTTTGGACTAGTAAGGAAGGAGAAGGGAAGTTGGTTCAGAGGAAACACGGACATGACTCTCTACTCTCTGAGTTGTGAGGTAAGAGGAAGATCTAACTGTTGACCACATCCTTCCCTTCTCCAGCTTTGCTTTGAAGGGGTTGGGATGGGTGTGCCCAGGATGATATGGTTCTAGCAGATAACCACAGCAACCTTCTACCTTCCGTTGACATGCAAAATGTCTTCTTTGGTAGACTGTTACCTCTTTCTGCTCTTTCTTGCCCTTGAATCTGTACCTCTTTCCTTATAGTGCATGGCTTGTTGTATAACCATAGTTGTGCTTAATGCACTTCTTGCCTTACAAACATTTCGAATTGCTTAAATAATGCTTGTAATTGACCAGATGTCCTTTCAATGGTTTGTTGTTTCCTAGGACTTGACATTCACATTAGAAAAACAAAGACTGTTTTTTTTTCTTCTCTCTCTCTCTCTTATGGCGCATTGTGAGTCTCTTAGAAAATTTCTATTGTAAATTTGCAGCTGTTTGGTATTTGCAAAATCATATTCAGGCCATCCTGTGTGCCTGGAAGGGCTCTGAGGGGTTCACCCAATATAGACTGTTTTCCTGTATGTCCTGTTATTGTGACAGTTTGAAGTATGGTTTGAAGCATAGTTCAAAGACTGTGTACTCCAGAAGGCAAGAATACAGATGTGGCACCTGAAATGGCATTTGACCTGCTTTAGCGGTAGCTCATGAGGCTAGGGCAAAAGCAGAGATCAGGGCAGAGGCCTGATGGGTGCATGCCCAGAGCAATAGAAAGCTCTCATTGTCTAGGGGTCAAGTGAAAATCATGGTCTGGGAAGAAAGGAAGCCAGACAGGTCAAGTCCTCCCAGCTGTACCAAGGGAGACTGTAAACAGGAAGAGGAGCCAAGGGCTGGAACTGGGGTGGGGGGGGCAGGTCTGAGGAATAAGCAAGATGAGACAGAGCAGTGGGCTCAGACAGGCAGCAAAGAAAGCAGGAAATTGCTCTTGCTGGGGCCTTTGTTGAGTGTAGGACTGGGGACTCAGCACTCTGTGGGTAGGGTTCACTCTAGTTTCATTTCTTCTGCTGCCCCATCTAGGCTGATGCCTCATTGTGTCTTATACTATACCACTAGTGACCAAGCAGGGGCCAGGTGGGTTTTGGTGTTTTCTTCTTGCAAAGATCTCAGCCTTTGTATTGGATGTCTCTGAAGACTAATTCTGGCCTATCATGCCTCTATGGTCTACCTTTCCCTCTCTCTTTCATTCCATAGGTTGTTTGTCAAACTCTTTAACCTGAGATATGGTGATGACTTTCACTCACCAAGCTGACATTAGGTCCAGGAACGTGAACTGTCTTTCTTCTCACTCTGCCATTCCATACACACAGTGACTGCATATACGCTTTATAGAGGAAAGCGAGAAGAGGTTCTGTTGGCTCTACAAAATCGCCTAACTCCATCCAAAACACGAGTTTGAATCCAGATTCCCTTGATTGGACTGCCCTACAGAATCTTGCACCTGTTTGTGATTGTCAGCAACAACCTGTCCCCACCCTCTAGGCCTAAGAAACCAGTTAGCAGAGGCTGTGCTAGGGACACTTCTAGCCCTGAGTATGACTCCTGCCAGCCTACAACCTGATTGTGCCCTGTTAAAGTTTGTGAACTCATTAGGACTAGAGGCTGTTCTTAATCAAAACATAGACACACTTTGTACACTGGACTTTAATAAATGAGACTTTAAAAAATCATTAGAAGTTTGACTAGGAAAAGCTGCAGAGAAATAGATAGATGATAGACAGATGACAGATAGATGATAGATAGATGATAGGTAGATAGATAGATGATAGATAGATAGGTAGATAGATAGATAGATAGATAGATAGATAGATAGATAGATAGATAGATAGATAGATAGATAGAAACCCTTGCAGGCATCTGAAATAATAATAAATTCAGGGTACCAAACATATTCCATATGAACATGCCCTTGCGATGGGGGAGGCCTGTGATCCTAATGTCCTCTGCACCTCAGAAGGCTGAGAATTCACTTTTTTCTCAGGCGTCTATCTGCTTTAGCCACATTAGGATGCATATTTAAATTATCTTGAAGGCTCCACTCCATCAAAAAGTCACTTGAGTTTGTGTCAAAGAGTCCTTTATAACAATGGAAAGTGTACTTAGTGCTGGGAAGTCATTCACAGGCATTTAACTGCCCTATGAAGCCATTGGTCCATCCTTGCCACTACCCTTGTCCCTGCCCTAAATGCAGGTTCCAGCCCTTATTCCCAGGCAATACCAGAGCACTGTGGCCACACCTGTGTCTCCTTGCACTCTGCTCCTGGAGTCAGGTCTCCCCATGTGTCCATCACATTCCTGCATCACCAGTTGCTGGGTTATGATGGCTCCTTCTGAGTCTCAGGTACTTTCTCCCCCACACATGCCCTGTGTAGAATCCAGCTAGCAGTTCTTCCTAACTGAACGTTTGTACTCTAACATCCAGTGAGTGTTGACTAACAGAACTTGAGACATAATGTGAACATTTAGATGGGATCTAACACCTCATTGCAGAGCATGGTAGTATCCTGAGACTCTTCCTGAGTAATAAAGCCATGTTGGAATAAGATATCACAGGGAAAGGGGGAGAGTTGCTTTATGGCTGTATGATCCTTCCTCATCCCACACTTCCATGGGATGGAATTGACAACCCCTTTGAACTCATGTGCAGACTGAAGCCCACAGTGGTGGGTGCTGCACGGTGCTAGGGTGCTAGTTATAGGCAAAATGGTTTAGAAAATGTTAGTTCTGTCAGATGGAATGGAGCCCAGAGTTGGTTGGTTCTGCCATGGCCGGATTGCCCTGTACCCTGTTTCTGTTGAGCTGGGATATTTCTTTCTTCAGATTAGATACTGTGATGATGATTAACCTTCACTATCAAACTGGTAGGATTTGGATTTACACCTCCAGGCGTGTCTCTGATGATGTTTCCAGTGAGGTGTTTATTTTGGTCTACCATGTTTGAACCAAATGGAAGATCTGTGAGTGGGAAACTTCCACATATATCTTTGAATCTTTAAGGATGCTGGGGCTGTGTGTTGTTGATATGAGATGTTATGTTCTGTTTTCCTTTTCTTTCCTGTTATGTCTTTGTTGTTACGTGTGCATCCCTCTGCTCTAAGTCAGAGATTAGAGACAAACCCCTATTGTCTACACTTCAAGCTTTCAAGGAATGCAGGTATTCTTGAAGGTTTCTTCAGTCTTCTGTGCAGAATAGGATTTAGATATAGAAAGAAGCCAACACTCTGTATTGGTGTGGATCTTAGGATGTGGATAGGAAGGGAGTCTGAAGTGTTCAGATGGCCAGAGAGTCTATCTGGGATTTTAATGGACTGTTACTCAATTCAGAGATTAGGGAGCATGAGTTTGGACAGCAGAGCTACTGAACTACAAAACACATACTTATCTATTGCAGGTACCAGATAAGTGCATGGGGCTTAAATCAGGGTGAAAATTAAGATTCCTGGCTGCAAGGGTCTGTTCCTGAAGTCAATTGGCAGTCTTGGGGAGGCTCCTTGGATGATGGGTAAGGAGCTAAGGGCTGGTCTCCACCCATTTCATGTCTCACTGTCCTCTTGGCTGCCTGATTTAGAAGAAAGATTGCACAGCCAGCAGTAGTAATACAGTGGGACCACTGTGCAATAGGCAAATGTAGATGGTGGGGGGGTTGTTGACAGAGAAAGTCCTGGGAGTGTGAGAGAGTTAGCATCATTGAAGGTCTGCTGCACACCCTCAAATTCCTTAAGTTGACCTGTCTGCCAGAGAGAACTTAACATTCTAGGACATACGCTTGCTTAGGAAGCACCCGGGACCAGCTCTGTGTCTGGTGGCTGAGGGGGTTGATGGAAAGTGCATTCTTGTGAGGGGTACGGGGTCTTGGAGATGGATTTGGCTAGGTGTGCCACCTGGAACATGTCTTCTGTGATTGCTAAGGTTTTACCCTTCTGGAAGGAAATGTCTTACTAAATGTATCTTGGAGGGATTCAGGAAAGGATGGGAATGTGTTGTCATTTCCTGTTTTGAGGCTAAGACATGAAAGTTACCATCAGAATGGTGAAAGTTACCATCAGAATGGCAAAAGTGCCATCCACAGACCCGAGGCAGAGCCCTCTGGGTAAAGCTTCTCAGAGGACCCATGTTAGTTATGCTGCAAACCCTGATTCCATCCACTGTCTCTTGGCCTTCCCTGAGCCACCTACCACCAGGAGATGTGTATCTCAATGTAGAAGCCACAGTGAGGAGGTCTAATAGTGTACATTTCTCATTTCAGACTGCTCTGCGATGACCACAGCAAGGTACCGACCCACCTGGGACCTGGCCCTCGACCCACTGGTGTCTTGCAAGCTGTGCCTTGGGGAGTATCCGGTGGAGCAGATGACAACCATCGCCCAGTGCCAGTGCATCTTCTGTACCCTGGTTGGTCTCTGGGCTCAAGTCTGTGTTCATGGAGCTTGTTGCTCTCATTTCCAAACGTACAAAGTCATGCTCTGGACTAATTTTGTGGGAGGATAAGTCTCCTTGTAGAGGTGCATGTGGGCGTGGGAGGAATTCTGTGAGTCAGGCAGGTCACCAGAGGAGAAGCGTTCTATGACAGTTGCTTGGGGTGCAAAGGCTGTCACTTAAACAAGATTGTAGAAGCTGGTGGCATGATTAAACACTCATAGCACATGTTCTCTGCCAGACAGAAGAAGCATTCCCACAGCTCTTTTTAAATTTAACACTAACTACACACTTGACATTGTAGCAGGGCTAACCTGACTGTGTGTAGCTAGAATATGTAGCCATTAGTGTCATGTTTCCCTGTTGAGTGCTGGATGAGACTCTCTATAGCTTGGAACCATGTTTAAATTTCCTCACAATGCAGCCATTATTCCTTGAGGCCAATGATCTATTCTCAGTATGATTATAGGGTCTCCTCACTCAAGAAATTTGGGTTTAAGTATAACTCAAACTCAGAATTTTTATCCATCAGAAAAGAAAATAAATTTTTTTTAACTTTTTCAAAAACTTTGAGAATTTCATACATGTATGTAAGGTGTTTTGATCAAATCCATGCCCACTCCATCCCTCCATCATTCCCCCATCTTAAGAGGTAACCCTAAAATCTTTTATGGATTAGATACAAGCTCCCAAATACTTTCTGGCCTTGGGAACAGAGTGTGTTGCTAACAGGCCCAAGGACATTTTGACTTTTAGCCAAGAAACTGGCTACATTTCTTTAAAGAAAACAAAATTTTTAATAGAAAAGAAGGGTTTATTTTTAAAGAAACATTTACTTATAGTTTTTCTGGTCGAATTGTTCTTGGTTTCTCTTGCCATTCAAAGAGTAAGGGAAAAAGTGAACTCATTAAAGAATGTGTAAGATGAGGTGTTGTGAGAGGGAATGGAGTTTCAGTTCTGAGATGTAAATATGTTCTGCATATGAGGACTAGCATGCTGAAAGGGTTAATAATGCTGGCTCCTGATTGGAGATGAACTATAGTAAACCAAGTATTCTTACCAGAATGAAAAGCAACACAAAACCGACCCCTCAAATTCATAACTGTGTGCTACATGCTTAACTGATCACTTCAAAGAATTTACATGCAGGATTGGGGAGGTGGCTCAGTGTGTAAAGGTATTCTCCATGCAAGTGTGAGAACCTGAGTTTGAACTCCCAGAACCCACATAAAAGCCACCTTCATAGTGTGAGTGTCCTGTAGTCCCAGTGATCCTACAGGGAGATGAGAGGTCAACCCAGGAGAATTCCTGGAATCTCACTGGCCAGCCAGCCTGGCTTGCACAGTGGAAAAGCATTCAAAAGACCCTGTCTGAAGCAAGGTAGCAGGTGAGAACTGACTCCCAAGGTTGTCCTCTACACACGCCCACATTCTCACACACAAATGTGCACAAATGTAAACACGTAAATGTTTACATGTATCAAAACATCATGTTATGCACCTTAAACATACCATTTGTATTTGTCAGTTACATATCAGCAAAGCTGGGTGGTAAAATGAAATACTGTAGTTTATTTTATTTTATTTTTTAAGTATAAGGACAGGGAGAAAGGACTTTCTTCAAACTATTTTTAAAAACCCTGTTGCTTCTGAACTTGACTGCCACCCTAGCTGGATAGCGTAGGCAGATCGCTGTGGAATCCTCAGATGTCAGAGTAGGAATGTGACTCTGTCTTTCCTGCCTCCCTGCATTGGGCACCTTCATCCTTCCTGCCCATGGCCTACAGCCTGTTTCACATCGACATACCTTTATAGGTGGGCCTGCAGTGTGTCACGATTTCTGTTTTAGAGAGAAGGAACCTGAGCTTTCAATCTGTATCTTCCTATTCCCAGCTGGTGCTGGGCTGACTGAAGAGAAGAGACTTTCTGGCTTGTTCTCCACCCCCTGCCCCCCCACCCCGACGTACACATGGCTTAGTGCAGGATTCATAAGAATTAATCAATAAAGGCTCAGGACTTGAACTGAAGCAATTGATCTCTCTCCTAGAGCTCACTGAGATCCAAAGGCATGTGCCTCATTAAAAGCCCAGGAAAACAGCTTGAACCTGCAGGAAAGGAAATTGCTTTTGATGTTTTCCCAGGGAGTGGGGACTGGAAGAGGGTGAAGAAACCCTCCATCCAATTAGCACAGTGAGTGTGGCTCACCTCAGCTAGAGGATGAGTTAGGCTGGAGCTTGTCAAGATGTGATAAATAAATTTCTGCAGAGTGCCTCCCTACTGTTGCCTGAAGGGACATTTCCAGGGTCCCCACAGCTCCCATTCTCCTCTTCTGCGAGTGCCTTGGGGCATATCTGCCATCTTTCTCTAGTCACCTGGAGCTGTCAGAGCCACAATGCACACTTTTTCCTCTTGAAATATTCTAGTCTTCCTGCCTTTATGTTGGGCCTTTCATTTTATTGTTGTTGTTTTTGATTTCCTATGTCTAGAGAATTGTAAAATAATAAGCAACTTTAATTTACACCAAGGGCATCACTGAAGTCCAGAGATGTAAGAAACAGCCACTGTTTGCTCAAAGAAGCATGACCAGGAGTGCCAAGGGGCAGCGCGTTTGGGGGCCATTGTGATTTTTTTTCTCCATAACTATTTTTTCAAAACTGAAAGTGGTAAAGATGGTCATCGTGCCTGAATCTCTCTGGAGTGTGAAGAAGGAAACATCTGTGTATTGGCCAAAGGAGAAAGGGCAACGGAGAAAGGCAGGAAGTGTCCACATCTCATGGTAGTTACACATCTTCCCTTCTAGTGGGGACTGTGGTCAGCCCAGTGTGGACATACACTAGAAGAGCCAAAACTTACGGTCAGATAGACAGGAAAAGGGAAATCATTGTGTTACATAGAAAGGGGGCACTCTGGGATCCCCTGCTCAGGCCAGAGCAGCACAGGGAGTAACAGCATTGAATCCAGACAGGGTAGGTCTGTGTTTTCCCACAAGACCCTCTTTTCTGCACTGCACAGGGTGGTAACCAGGACTTGCCATTGTGTGGCAATTGTGAGCAGATGGAGCCCCAACCGTGTAGACTGATGAGTTTGTACTCAGCTACCAGCTGGTTCTTTGTTGTTGATCTGGAACCTGGCAAAGCTTCAGATGCCCTGTATTCTTTCTGGTCTCCACATCTACGAATGCAGGTTCTTTGTCTCTAAGCACCAAGATTCTTGGGCTTTGTTCCTCTCCTGTCCCACTGGCAGTTTCTTCCTGTTGCTATCTGAACCTGTGGATGGTGTTTGTAGACTGATCGCCTCCATGGCTTATCCCAGCACAAGGCTCTTTTACATTCACCTCATTGTGAGCAGATAGGGTGACTATAGAGGCCACTTTTCCATCACAGAGTCCCTGGATGGAGAAGGGTGGGGTCTCTACAGTAACTGTGGATCAAAAGACACCTTTTCCAGGAATACCATTAGCTTCATTTTTCTGTATAGTCCTTGGGATGGGACTTGTGGAGCAGCTAAAGTGAGTCCACTGATTGGTTGAGCCAGATGCCTGGATCCTGGCCTGAATCTGGGCTAGTCCTTCCAAACTTTAAGACCAAGGAGGCAGAGGGTTCTTAGAGAACCCAGGATACATCTCAGAATGGAGAGCTTGAATATTCCTCTGACACAGAGAATAAACCCCCTCCATGCTAATGACTTCCTGAGTTAAAACCCTGAGCCTTAGCATCGGCCCCCTCTGTGCAGCGTTGCGTAGCCCTGTTCTTCCACTGCCTCAGTTGCCCACTTAGCCCTATGCACTGTTGGAAACTTCTCAACTCTGGTGTCATCTGGTGCTTAAACTTATGCAGGCCTTTAGCAGGCACTGTGGATGTGATTACCCATCTATCCTCTGCTGTGGGTAGGTGATGCCCCTAATTAGCAGTAGTTTCTTCAGTGTAGAGGAAACTAAATCTATGTGGGATCTGCCTACACTGCTCAGAGATAGTTCTAGCAAATAGTTTTCAAAGTATCCCTGAGTTAGGGTCCCTTTGTCCAGATGAGCATCAATAGGGCAAGCCTAGTGACTATAAATGACCAGAACCAAACTGTTCTGCCAGATGGAGCTTAGAGACCAAGAGCCCAGTGGGGGTTGCCTTTACCTTGCATGTCAGTGTCTTGGAGAGGCCAGGCCTCTCCTTTGGGGCCAGAGAAGTGGGGACACACACACACACACACACACACAGACACACACACACACACACACCAGTATAAGGGAACATCCTAGTGTTGGTTCACTAGGTAAGGAAAGATTGGGTGGGGGAACTTGAGGTTCATGGTGTGAGTTCCTATGCTATGAGGAGGCAGAGAGCTGTTTCCAGCTGCCTGAGGGCCTGCACAGTCTTTCTGTGTCTGGTACTCAGAATGGCTTCCCAGCCTGCATGTCTTCAGACAGTATCTGGGCTCCCCTGATTCTCTAGAACAACTCACAGGTCACAAGAAGAGCATTTCCTTGTCACCTCAGACTTTAGGTCCATGTGGCAGCACCTCGTTGTTAGAAGGGGTCAGGGAGTAACATGATACATTCATGGTTTGTTGGTGTTAAAGGTCTTACTGTGTCATCTCACTGTTCTGTTCCTAAAAGCCTGTGGAGTAGGCACATTTCTCCATCTAGAGGAAAGGACCAGCAACTGGGAGGTTATTATGGCCTGTCAGGAATGTAGCTGAGTAGCCCTGATGCCCTGGAGGGTGCACCTTCCATTAACATCATCTTTGTACCTGGGACACTGATGAACTAAGTCAGAAGCATGTTCACACAAAGACATGGCTACATACAAAACAGACACAGAGACACACACATGCAAACACACAGACATACACAGAGACACAGATACTAACACAGACACAGATAAACACACAGACATAGATACATGTACAAACAGACATACAAACACAGGCACACACAAAGACACAGATACATACACAGATACACACATAGAGACACAGTTATTT